AATGTGAGGAAAAATATGTGTAAAAGATTAGTGTTCTACTACCACATAAATTATGTGTGAACTTGAATATAAATAAACATTCAAATCTTATACATAAAATAAGAGATACAAAAAAGTATATAGTGACACAAATTAAGTGCCTAATTCCAACATAGACTAAGTGCAAAATATTAATTAACATAACCTAATGTGCATCAAATGTCCATATACAGTGTTCAAAATAAAGTGCTCTGTCCCCCAAAATCCATAGCCAGGCTTGTGCAAGATAACGAAACACCCAAACACTTCCTCTCCTTACAAATGAGAACACACTGCACTCATTGAATATAAGTCACCTCTTTTCGCAAAGGTCAAATGCGCATAAGGTATCTCAAATGGATAATTTGCTCCAGCAGATACACCAAACACTTAGAGAATAGAATAGCTTCACGTCCTCAGGGGCGTACTGACCATTTGGAAACTTGGGCACTGCCCGGGGTCAGTAGGGGGCCCCATGAGATGCCCCTGATACCTTTTTCATAGGTTTTTTTTTGAGTTTGGGCAAGGACACAGGGGCCCCATGATCCCCTATTGCCTGGGGGCCCCATGAGTTGTCAGTCCGCCCCTGCACATCCCACTAACAATCCTATGAATTTCAGAGACCCTTCTACAGATTCCGAATGGGGGATCCTGATTGGTCTCTTTAAAAATTAAGACCTAGAGATTTCTGCCTCAGGTTTGTTAGTCTCTCCGGACCCACGTGGTTGTGCTGGGTCTCCCAGTCCTATGGGAAAGTAGTTCCCCAACATTTCTTGGGTTCATTTCTTCTGAGTAGGTCACCCCTCCTGGCTGCAGCACACCACTATCTTCAGACAAAGGCTGTGTCTCTGAACGGCAGCAACTTATTTGTGTCACTATATACTTTTTTGCATCTCTTATGTATAAGATTTGACTGTTTATTTATATTCAAGTTTGCACATAAAATTTATGTGGGAGTAGGATACAAATTTTTTTACACATATTTTTCCTTGTTAAAGAGCGCTGTCTTTTTTTGTGTTTTATATAAGACGCTTCTGACGTTGTCTCTGGTTCAGAAGTGGCTTGGCAAAAGGAATGTGACAGTTATAGTCCTGGATATGTCTGTGTGTGGTGGCTTTTGAAGCACTGACAACAGCCATAGTCCACTCCTTGTGAATCTCCCCCAAATTCTTGAATGGCCTTTGCTTCACAGTCCTGTCAAGGCTACGGTTATCCCTGTTGCTTGTCCACCTATTTCTACCAAAATGTTTCCTTCCACTCAACTTTCCATTAATAAGCTTGGATACAGCACTCTGAACAGCCTGCTTCTTTAGCAATGACCTTTTGTGACTTACCCTCCTTGTGGAGGGTGTCAATAACTGTCTTCTGGACAACTGTCAAGTCAACAGTCTTCCCCATGATTGTGTAACCTACTAAACCAGACTGAGAGGCCATTTAAAGGCTCAGGAAACCTTTACAGGTGTTTTGAGTTAATTAGCTGATTAGAGTTGGACACAGCGAGTCTACAATATTGAACTTTCACAATATTCAAATTTTCTGATATACTGAATTTTGGCTTTTCACTAGCTGTAAGCCATAATCATTATATATAAAAAGAAAGAAATGCTAGAAATATATCACTCTGTGTGTAATGAATCTATATAATATACAAGTATTACTTTTTGAATTGAATTACTGAAATAAATTAACTTTTTGATGATATTCTAATTTATTAAGATGCACCTGTATTGCCCCAAGATCTCTACTATATATATATATATATATATATATATATATATATATATATATTAGTGCAGAAAAGAAGTGAAAAATAATTTTTTTTATAAAAAATGATCCTTTGTCTTAAGGTTTATGTGTGTCTGAAACTCCTGCTTGTGGCTCAGTAATGAACCCTAGGTTCACACCTAAGCGTTTTCCGCAATGTTTTGCAGAAATGCACTACAGTCCATTTAACATGATTTCCTATGGGACACGTTCACATCTCAGTGTTTTCACCTGTTGTGTTTTTTGGAAAGGGTCAGGGACTCACATCAAAAAAACACAACAAAAACGCACCACAAAACACAATGCAGAAACGGATCAAACGCAAACTGCATAGGTGTGCGCCTAGCATCAGGTATATTTTGTGTTTACAGGGACTGCAGCATTTGTGTGCAGTGTATACAATGATTAGGCTCTATGTAATCATGTCCCTTTAAACTACACTCACTTTTCCACAGTGCGATGCTGAGATGTGCATTATTCACTATGGCATGCTGCAGCTTTCTCCAGGATGCAAAGGTATTTTATTACTCTAGTTATCTCTTACTCTATCTATTACTCTAGTTATCTCTCTATACTGATCTTAAAAGAAAAATCCTGTATTTCTCCCAACTATGCTGTCTCCACAAAGCTTTAGTATGTTGTGATTTTCTCACACTGCTCCAAATAACAATCTGGATTGGACCCTCTGCATCTAATATTGTTTTGGTAGGATTTGAAAATGGAAACCAGCTTTAGGCAAAATTGGAGCAGAAAGTGAACGCTTTGTAAACTCCTTTATTTGATTTTACACATTTGCAAGTATGTATTTCATTACACATAGAATCTTCTGGTAATCTCTGGAAGCTTTCACAAGTACAGTGTAGGTGCAGAGGTCCTCAGGGCCTTTTCAGTGATAACTCACAGATCAGGTCCTATTTAGTATCTAGTCTAATTTTATGGTTTCACTGTTCATAATTATAAAAGGTAGTCTAGGCCAGATATACACTTTCCAGCAAGTCCAGCCTGGCAGACAACCATGGCTCAATTCATAGATACAGTGGAGTGAATGAGTGTAGCAACTTTAGAACAGAAAGTGTATTTCACAGGATTAGGAAGTGAAAATAAAGAAACAAATGCTTTAAAAAATAAAACAAAACAAATGTAGCCACCTCATCATCAGGACTGCTAAACTGCAATATATCATATTTTTGTTTTTTGGAGGGTTTAGAGTTGCTTTAATGGCCAAGTACTAGTTGGCAACATATTTTATCTGTAGAGCAGTCAATAAAGTCTTGACAATTCTGGAGTGTCTCCCTGCATTGTATATTTGCACTATTTTGCTGTTATTTAGTGATTTTTGCAAAACTGCACACCATTACAAACAATTAAACAAAACGTTTTAACATGTACTGTTTAATACTGTATATAAGTGCTATTTTACATAAACCACTAAATGTTCAAATTTGAAAGTCTTTTCAATGATATTGTCAGCATTTTAAAAATTAAACTCTGACTCCTTTACAAAAATTATTAAAACTATGTTTTGCCTTAATGTGATTGATCCTTTCATGCTAAATCAGACTTCGACTAGGGCTACACTGGTGATAAAATCTCTTGAGACATTTTACTGCTTATTGGCAGTAAGCTCATTTAAAGCACATTCAAATCAATGTGCTGCTAATATAATTATTGCCAACAAAAAGTTAAATATCCTAATGGGAATCAATTTAATTGCCAAATTTAGTCTTTAACAATGTGACACATCTGTTGTGAATGGTAGGGCATTTACAGTAGGCATCTTTCAGCAATTCTTTTGCCCAGGTCCACTTTACGTCCATTGTATAATGATGTGTGGTGGCATGGCACTATAATCACCATATCGTTCTATGTGCAAACTACACTATATTGCCAAAATTATTGGGACGCCTGCCTTTATACGCAAATGAACTTTAATGGCATCCCAATCCCAGTCTGTAGGGTTCAATATTGAGTTGGTTGACCCTTTGCAGCTATAACAGCTTCAACTCTTCTGGGAAGGCTGTCCACAAGGTATAGGAGTGTGTCTATGGGAATGTTTAAATTAATATATAAAAGTGCAAAACTCAAAATATTATTAATATGAAGATACTAAATACAAGTGATAACACTGGAGTGAATGAAGCGCTGCAATTTATTTATTTCAGATAGTTATATAGTGCTATCAATTTACACAGCACTTTACATATATTGTACATTCACATCAGTCCCTAACCCTCAAGGGGTGTACAATCTAAAGTCCCTAATTCACATATTAGGGCCAATTTAGACAGGAGCTAATTAACCTACCATCATGTCTTTGGGATGAAACTGGATACCTGGAGGAAACCAATGCAAGCACAGGGAAAACATGCAAACTCCATGCAGGAGGTACCATGGTTGGGAATTGAACCCATGATCTGTTGACTGCAAGGCAGATGTGCTAACCACTAAGCCACTGTGCCACCCCAATTAAACAAGTGCGGCTGTGAAAGCCATAGAGCAAAGAAAGTGTTCATATGATGGTAGGGGTCTGACAAACACCGGTCAGAAAATTGTGCTGCACATGAATCCTGTTGCACAGGTGGTATCACTTGTTGCACTTTGATATATTAATTTTTTCAGCACTGCACCAATTTTTGTTTATGTTTTATATAAGGTCAGATCAGAGTCTTGAGCGCTCGCTGTTCTTGTATTCAAATATTTAGCTATGGGAATGTTTGACCATTCTTCTAGAAGCGCATTTGTGAGGTCAGGCACTGATGTCGGACATGAAAGTCTGGCTTGCTGTCTCTGCTCTAATTCATCCCAAAGGTGTTCTATTGAGTTGAGGTGAGGACTCTGTGCAGGCCAGTCAAGTTCCTCCACCACAAACTCGCTTGTCCATGTCTTTATGGACCTTGCTTTGTGCACTGGTGCACAGTCATGTTGGAACAGGAAGGGGCCATCCCCATACTGTTCCCACAAAGTTGGGAGCATGAAATTGTCCAAAATGTCTTTGTATGCTGATGCCTTAAGAGTTCCCTTCACTGGAACTAAGGGGCCAAGCCCAACCCCTGAAAAACATCCCCACACCATAATCTCCCCTCCCCCAAACATTACACTTGGCACAATGCAGTCAGGCAAGTACCGTTCTCCTAGCAACCGCCAAACCCAGACACGTCCATCAGATTGCCAGACAGAGAAGCATGATTCGTCACTCCAGAGAACACATCTCCACTGCTCTAGAGTCCAGTGACAGCGTGCGTTACACCACTTCATCCTACGCTTTGCATTGCACTTGGTAATGTAAGGCTTGGATGTAGCTTCTCAGTCATGGAAACCCATTCCATGAAGCTCTATACATACTATTGTGCTAGTCTGAAGGCCACACAAGGTTTGGAGGTCTTTAGCTATTGACTCTGCAGATGGTTGGTGACTTCTGTGCACTTAAGCATGCGCTGACCCTGCTATGTTATTTTATGTGGCCTACCTCTTGGTGACTGAATTGCTGTTGTTCCCAGTTGCTTCCACTTTGTTATAATTCCACTAACAGTTGACCGTGGAATATTTAGTAGCAAGGAAATTTCATGGATGGATATATTGCACAGGTGGCAACCTCTCACGATACCACACTTGAATTCACTGAGCTCCTGAGAGCGACCTATTCTTTCACATGTTTGTAGAAGCAGTATGCATGCCTAGGTGCTTGATTTTATACACCTGTGGCCACTGAGGTAATTGGAACACTGGAATCCAATGATTTGTAGGGGTGTCCCAATACTTTTGGCAATAGTGTATGTATATATGTATGTATGTATATGTGTGTATGTATATATATATATATATACACAAACACAGCAGCAGTATGTGTTATGTTTTCTTTATTTTGATTAAGTGAGGCAGCTGAGGTTTTTGGGGCTAGCTAATTAGTCTACAAGCCCAGCTGAGGACAGTTGGGGAGCTCTTTGGTTCCTCTCCCTATTATTGAGGTCCCCTTCAAGAGGACCACTATGAATGTGGTTGGCTCTTTGTTGAAGTCCACTAGGGGCCATCAATACATTTTATTTATAAAGGACTATGCCTCCTCTTATTTGTAAGTGAGCCCCTCTTCAAATTACCTTGATCTCAGGTTTAGACCACGGAGGCTGAAAACTTGACAGACCAGGGTACTCGATTTCTCAGGTAAAGATATTTGTAAATTACTTAAGGTAATACAATTACATACTTCAGTGTACCATCCCCAAAAAGACGGGTTGTTTGAAAGGTTCAGCAAAACTTTAAACTAATGTTACAGAAATGATGGCTATTCTATAGGATTCCTATGAGTTACACTATGGAAGACACCCAAGGGGGCTGTTGGATTTTACTATACAAACTTGGGAAAGTGAGAGTTTCCCGCATGTGTCAAGGTCCTACCTTTCCTCAGGGCTTGTGCTGCTCCATGTGCTGGCATCCATCTTAGGTATCTGCAAAGCATTGTGGGATCCTTTATGCTTTCAGCCCTCTGCGGCTCCTCCCCCAGGAGGTGGCGGCTTATCACATATAAGTCTGCTGTTTGTAGCTGTCCATTGCATTTGTGTCCTGTCTGTTGCACATCAGCAAGCTCCTGTTTAGTTTCTCATAGCTCTCCTGGATACCGATTCGGCTTTGGCAAGACTCCTTTCTGGCTTCTGACCCCGGCTCTGGCGACCATCCTTCCTGGCTTCTGACCCCGGCTCTGGCGATCATCCTTCCTGGATTCTGACCCCGGCTCTGGCGACCATCCTTCCTGGCTACTGTTCTACCAAGTCACCCGCTGTTGCCGTTGGACTTGCATAGACTCTGTCTTGTTGTATAATAAACCTACCTTTAATTGCACCTCCTTGTGTGTCTGGCTCCTCACTCCCTGACTGCATGATTGAGAATGTTGCACAAATGCAAGAAAGAATTGCACAGGTAATGCCTTTTGTGGAAGAGCCCCAAGACTGATTTAATGTCTGTTAAGAGCGCAGCTTGATTGCTAAATGCTTCCTTCTGCTTTTCTAGAGCAGCACTGTAGCAATATAAAACCTCCAAACTATTTCCTAATTGTACACATTTTGAGAGGAATGTTAAATCTATTATACTGTATATTTTCCCATAAATATCCAAATCTTCCTCAATGTGTGCTGAAGAGTACATACTACTCAGCATCACTAGCATGATCAGCAGGCAGTAACTATTTAAGCAACATTAAGCCAGGGTGGAAAATATAAGCTGCTTACCATCTGCACCTATTCTTTTCAGTGCATTAGTATTGTACTATGGTAAGATTATGTCAGGAATCTCCCTTTTTCAAGCGCTTAATCCCAAGGAATGCAACTAGAGTTGAAGGACCTGTCTGTAGCCATCCGGTTTAGGCTTTGGTTTGACAGTTGGTTTAGTTTGGTTGGTGGATACAGAAAATAAATGTTCCATATAAGCCTGAATAGATAAATGATCCAGTGAGTGACTGAATGGGACTGAATTGCATTGTCAGATACAGCTCACCTGAACCCTCTGATAAGGATAAATCAAAAAGGTTTTTTATCTTAATGCACTCTCTGCAGTTAACAAGCACCCCATTAACTATTCTACCCACCCCCATCCCTAAACACCTGTAAGTTAAACTCCTGTGAAGAGGGAGTAGGGGCATAGCTTACTGGCGCCATGTGTGTCTATAGATATACACAGCCCAACTCGGGAGTGCGTGTGCACGGGTGACTTCATATAGCACCCAAGTTGCTAGGTATTCACCCTGAGGAGGTGGGATTTGCCAGTGGGGGATGGAATAAGAGGAGGTAAGGGACAATTCGGTGTAATATCATCACACAGAGCAAGTAAGTATAACATATTTTAACCTCCCAAAATGTTATCTTTTATCACTTTAAAGGTGTATATAAAAAGGTAATTATTTTGAGGTTTTTCCTGTCAGGTTTTCATTTTTCCATTTCGTCCGCAGATTTTGCCTCATTTCCTGTTTGTTGAAACTGATGTCAGTAGGACAAGAAGCAAGTGTAAATCTCTTGAAAGGGGCTCTGGGTAGCAATAAAAACTTGACAGGTGTTTTAGGCCTAGTTCACGCTAGTGCAATATCAGATGCAACCAGGGGCGGACTGACACCTCATGGGGCCCCCGGGCAATAGGGGATCATGGGGCCCCTGTGTCCTTGCCCAAACTCAAAAAGCCTATGAAAAAGGTACCAGGGGCATCTCATGGGGCTTCCCCTACTGACCCTGGGCCCTCGGGTAGTGCCTGAGTTTCCAAATGGTCAGTCCGCCCCTGGATGCAACTTTGCACAGTTGCATAGAATTGCATGACATTGGAAATCACATTATTCTCTATGGTGCCCATTCACAATACAGCACAGTAATGCGTGTTTTTGGAAAAGGGCCAAGTGCTACTGTGATGCAGGTGGAGCATGATTTGGGCTCTGTAGACCTAAATCACAAGTGAAATGCATGTACATGCAAGAAAGTGTTTTTGCAAATTGTTAAGGAGTCGGCACCCTCTGGCATCCTAGCAACCAGTGACCCCTGCCAACATCCAGGGATTGGTGTCTAAAAACAGGAATTTAAACAAAGGAGCCTGTCAGTAATTATTTAATTTTTATTGACATGGGGGTTCCCCATGATCCATACCAGGCTCTTTGGGTCTGGTATTGATTTAGGGGGGATCCCACAAAGAAAAAAATAAAAATAGTGTGGGGTCCACCCAACTCAATGCCACACCCTTATCCAAGCATGCAGCTTGGCAGGCCAGGAAAGGGGGAGGACAAGTGTGCACCCCCCACTGAACCATACAGGCTACATGTCCTCAACATGGAAGGGGTTACCCATGTTGATGAGGATAATGGTCTCTTTCCCAACCCTGGTCCGGTGATTGTGAGAGTCTGCGGGTGGGGGCTTTATGGAATCTGAAAGACCCCTTTAACAATAAGGGGGCCCCCAGATACTGGCCTCCCCATGTGAATAAGTAAGAGGTGCATAGTACCCCTTACGGATGATAAAGAGTTGTAAATGAAAGCACTCAGTGGAAGAGAAGGGTGTTAATGGGAGTTCCCCTGCCCATATTAGGTTCCCTGTTCCTATTCCCCCACTTTGCCACCAAAATTCCAAACCTGCTCTGTATCACACAACAGATTCAGTCACTGCTTTGTGCAACAAAATTTCTGAAAAGTTTGTGAACGTCATTGAAAAAAACTACAATGTAACATTGCTGGTTTTTTACTCTTTAGCTCTTAGGTAACCCTAATTAGTCCTAATTAACTTCTTCCTCCTTCTCTCTTTAGGTATTCATTTTCTGTTCATTGTTTTCAAAAAAGATGTCTTCCTAAGGAAGTAGAATAAACAGGGTTATTGGAGAATAAAAATCATACACACATACGCTGTACTGGACCTGCATCTTTTATTCGATGCAACTATACATAAATGACATACAATGACAGTGGGTGTCAGCTATTAGGTCTGTACATGGCAATAGGGCAGCATAAGTGACAGCACTTCACATTGAGATATTGGGACACAAGGCGGGACGAAGACTTCAAGGGAAAAAAGAATGTACACTGGGACAGTTGGCAAGGATGGGGCAGCTGCTTTGGGTCCCACAACAATGACTGGGCCCAGGGCAGCTGCCCTTTTTGCCCCTTCTTAAAGAAGGCCCTATAAATATAACATCTGTTTAAAAACATCCTTCAGAATCACTTTAACCTTTAGAAGGTCTTAGTACTTGCTGACTATATAACTGCTTGTATGCTTCACATTAATTTGAAATTACCCCTTACCTTTTCTACATGCATTTCCCCACCTATCATGATTTACAAGTTCAATATATATATATATATATATATATATATATATATATATCTAGCAGAAAATGATGTGTGATACACAAATGAAACCTGAAAACAAGGTTTAAAAATTATTTGTACATAAATCAAGATGATTGAATAAAAGCAAAATAGGATACTTTGCATATCTCATTACTGTCCAATTTAGATTTGCAAAATATGAATATCTGTTTTACCAGCTGCAATAAAGTTCTGGTGGCTTAGAGTAAATCATCATTATTTTAGAGTATGTATTTGAGTGTGAATAGGAAATGAAGCACATTGTGGATCCAGCACTTGTTTTCTTCATAGGAATGAATTCTAAGGATAGAATTCATTTAAATCCAGTTTTTGCAATATAGGTGGTTTAGAACATGTGCCATCTAGTGGCCTTGTGAACAGAGAAAATGCAGTGATCTCCAGTTTTCCTTATGTAAGGTACTACTAGAAAAAAGATTAACACTTAAAGTGGAACTTCACCTAAAAGAGGACGTTCCGCTTTCCACCTCCTCCCCCACCCCAAACACCTTTGGATACAATTTTTTTGTGGGGGGGGAGCAGGCACTGGTTTGAACAGGTACCCATTTACACTTCTTTTTGAGTCACCTAGGCAATCTGAGCAGACGTTTGGCCCCCCTCTCTAACCCTGCAGCTGTCTGGGACACATCACAGGTCCCAAAAAGCTGGGTGACCATTCACAATGCACAGCATGGCTTGCTCATGTGCAGTAGGAAGCTGGCTGTGAAGCTGCTAGGACTCACAGCCGACTTCCCATACTAAAGGTACTGGTACTGGGGACCCGAAGACTGGTGAAGAAATTGCCTGGGTGAAGACAGTGCTGGATCCCTGGAGAGGTAAGTGTCCTTATAT